GCGCGCCTGCCTTCTCCGCCGCCCCCGCCTTCTATCCGCGCGCCTACGGCGACCCCGACCCCGCCAAGGACCTTCGAACCGATAAGAAAGGTGAGGAGGAAACACAAGCTCCTTCTCCCCTCTGGGGTCGCTTTCGTCCCCAGACCCCGCGGCCAAGAAACTTTGGCCTGGGTAGAGGAGACTCGAGTGCCCGGGCAGATGGTCGAGCAAAGGGGGCCCCAAGTGTGAGAAGGGAGATTGCTGCCCGGGCCCCTGCGCTCTGCGTTCAGTCGGAGTTCTAGAGGAAATGGTGGATCGTGATGATCAGAAACAAAAGGCAAAAGAGAAAAAAAAATTTATTTTGCGGCCTAACAAAGCCCCAGGCGGCAGCACCCTGCTCCTGGATCTGTTACGGAGCGATCTGTTTGTGGTAGACAGAACAGAGGGAGAAAGAGATGGTCTCTATATTGGGTTTTGTTTTAAATCTCTTAAAGGTCTTTCAGAGGATCTGACAAAAACTGCTAAACGGAAATTAAAATGCTGCACACCAGACATACTTTGCCTACAATTAGAAAAGGTCCGAGACCTTCTGTAGCCCACCCGTTACCCGGGGTTTCTGGGGCCTTTCCTCCTTTGTGCCAGGAGAGTGGAATCTTTGAGAACAAGGATCTTGAATTTAAAATGGGATACTGCGGACTCTCCGGAATTTGACTTAGCAGCTTTGTTTTTTCATAACAATTTCCCCACGCGGTCAGGGCCGAGGGGTTCTCTCCTGGAATAAGTTAGAAAGTGCCGCGTGACTTAAGTCGTGGGCCAATGGAGAAGATGGCTAGGGAAAGTGGCCAGATCGCCGCGCACATCCCGAGGTTCAGGGGGAGGCTAACTCCGTGGCGGAAAGGGCATGTAGGAGACGGTGGCCCAGTCCAGAGTCCGCGCGAATCCGGGGAGGACGGGGGCACCGCGTGAAGGGCCGCTGTGAGCCCAGAAAGGATCTTGCCGTGAGCCTACAAAAGTCTGTCTAGTTGCAGAGGGAAGGCCCCGGCAACAGCTGCCGGCAGGCACAGCGGTTTGAATTGGTCTCTACCAATTCGAATTATAATTCGAGCACGCCAGCAGGCAGGTTCCGAGGCCGCCTGCCCACCCGCCGCTTTCTGGGCGCTGCACAATCCCCGCGGCGGTTGCACGGAACCTTCGATAGATCACCAAACCAACACCTCCTGGCCTTCTGTTTCTTCGGTTCTGTAATTATCAGACAGTTTGCCGACCCTGGGGTGAGGGCTATGTCTCCTTTTAACTTCTCAAACCAAAGTAGCCCTAATCTAATTCACCCCAGAGAACCATTCGGCTTTATTTTCTTTGCAGCCTTAAGTCTTAAGTCATTGTCCATCTCTCTCACTAGAAGGTGAACTACCCGTGGGCAGGGATCTCCCTTGTTTTGTTCTTCAGTGCCTAGAGCCATGCCTGGCACATCGTAGGCATTTAACAAATGCTTACTGGAGAGGGGAAACCTAGCTGTCGTGGCGCCCAGTGCACCCGGCAGAGTGAACCGCAACCAAGCTGGGGCTCCAGGCAGGACCGGGTGGCACGCACCGGGGCCCATTACCCACCTGGCGGGCGCTTGGAGGGTCGGGCCGCTGCGACCCAGCATCTCTCTGCCTCTCTGTCCCCCTCCTCCCCCAACAGAGCTGTGCGCGCTGCAGAAGGCGGTGGAGCTGGAGAAGCCGGAGGCGGACAGCGCCGAGCGACCCCGGGCGCGACGGCGGAGGAAGCCGCGCGTGCTTTTCTCGCAGGCGCAGGTCTACGAGCTGGAGCGGCGCTTCAAGCAGCAGCGGTACCTGTCGGCTCCCGAGCGCGACCAGCTGGCCAGCGTGCTGAAGCTCACGTCCACGCAGGTCAAGATATGGTTCCAGAACCGGCGCTACAAGTGCAAGCGGCAACGGCAGGACCAGACTCTGGAGCTAGTGGGGCTGCCCCCGCCCCCGCCGCCGCCTGCCCGCAGGATCGCGGTGCCAGTGCTGGTGCGAGATGGCAAGCCTTGCCTAGGGGACTCAGCGCCGTACGCGCCAGCCTACGGCGTGGGCCTCAACGCCTACGGCTATAACGCCTACCCTGCCTACCCAGGTTACGGTGGCGCGGCCTGCAGCCCTGGCTACAGCTGCACCGCTGCCTACCCGGCCGGGCCACCCCCGGCGCAGTCGGCTACGGCCGCCGCCAACAACAACTTCGTGAACTTCGGCGTTGGGGACTTGAACGCGGTGCAGAGCCCCGGGATTCCGCAGGGCAACTCGGGAGTGTCCACGCTGCACGGTATCCGAGCCTGGTAGGGAAGGAACCGGTCTGGGGCGCCCCTGACCGATCTCACCTCTAAAGAGGGGCATCTACTCGATCCTGCGACTCTTCTCGGATGTCACATTCACTCCCATGGAGGCCTTGGAGCGTTTTCCGCCCCAGGCGCTTTTATCTCCTCCACGCGCGGGAGAGTTTGTGGCCGGGTTTACGCAGCTTGCGGTGAGTGATCCCGCAGCCTGGTGCCTTAGCCGTCGCCCCGGGAGTGCCCTCCGAGCGCCCACGGGCATCCCTAATCGGCCGAACACCGGCCAACTGGGACTGGGAGCCCGGGCGCGCCGGGCCCAAGACCTGGCGGCCTTTCCCCGAGCCTGGGCCCGGCGCCTGGGCCCTTGCTGCCTTGCCGCCCACCCACCCGTATTTATGTTTTTACCTGTTTCTGTAAGAAATGAGAATCTCCTACCCATTAAAGAGTGCTCTGATCCTCCTGTGTGCTTTTTTCAGCTTGCAGTGTTCCAGAAACTGAATTTTGGAGGGCAGAGACAGCCGGCCTTGAGATGTAGGGACAAGTACTCACTGAGCAAATAATAATAATGATAAAAACTAACCTGTGCTGGGACCCGTGTTAGATGCTTTTGGGGACTACTCATGTAATTTTCAATGACTCAAAAAAGGAAGGCGCTATTTTAAAGTTCAGCAGACTGAGGCCTGGAGAGGTTTAATGTGAGCAAATAACCAGTACTGGTAGACCTGAGGTTCGTTTCCAGGTCTTACTTCAGAGACTGAGGACACCTGCCCAGAGGTCCCAGTCTCACCTCCTTAAACCCTTCTATGTGCCAAGCACTGTTCCAGGTACTGGGCTTTTAATGAAGGGCAAAGGCATCTGGGCCCTATGAGACTGGAGGGCACCATAATTCATCCTGCTTAGAAGAACGCTGCAGCCCATTTTCGACAGAAAAGCCCAGAACCAAAGCCCTAGTCAAGCTTCTCAAAACTCCCCAGCCCAGCGTTACTCCACGTGGAAGGGCGACAGGAGTCCTGTGGCCCGGTCCTCACCAGCTGCTGGGCTGGGCTGAATGCAGAGCCTGGAACACAGAGGTGGCTGGCTGGCAGTGCTCACCTCCTTCTGTGGCTGGGCCCCATGAATTCATGTGGTCAGGGAACCCTTCTCCCCCATCTGACTGCCATCCTCTCCGTTCAGCATTTAACAAATTTTGCCATAGTCCTTACCAACGGATGCTATTATACAGATTTTACAGATGAGGAAATTGAGGCTCAGCGAAATCAAGCTAAAAACCTGCTTGCTGTGGGACCTGCTTGCTGCCTGCCCCTCCCCCCCCTTTTTTTGGGTCAGTAAAATGAGAATAATAAAGATACCTTGCTCTAAGACCAGCTCTCAATAGTCCCCAGTGGCTCGGACCTGACCTCCAGTTCCTCTACTCCCAGCCTCCAAGGTCAGGAGAAACTAACCTGATTCTTAAAAAGTGAGGAAAGCGGGAGGGAGTTGGGGCTTTCTGTTCCTGTGGAATATAGGTTTTTCTGAGATTTTGCCTGGGAAGTGCTGGCCTGCCGGTCTGGCCCTGAGCTCCTGGTTGAAGACACAGCATTGCTCCAGGCACTTTGGGATGGAGCCAGGCTCGATGTGCTTCTTACACCGGGGAAAAGTCGCCAAGCCAGGCTGGTGAGATCAGGGGCCGTCCAGCCGCTGAGCCAGGGACTGAGCATCGCTGCCAGTGCCTGTACTGTCATCTCTTTAGGTAAGTGCTGTCCCTCAGGCTAGCCCCACCGCCTCCAGGGAGGGGAAGATGCCAGGGGATTCTACGTGCTTAGAGCTGAGCTGGATGGGTTTTCGATACAGGGACGCTGCGGTGTATGCAATCAACTGTCGCAGTGGTATAAGCCGGGCTCTGTAAAGGGGAAAGACTGTGCTCAGAGCAGAGCTTCACTCTGGGCCCTGGGACTTTAATCCTTCTGCTGTAAGGTCCAAGCCGGCGGCCGAGGGCCATGGGGAGGGGGATGTGTTCAGCTCAGTCTCCGCATTCCACCTTCTGAGCCTACAACGTTACTCCCAACCTTTACCTCAGTGCTCTCTGCCCCTTCCCGAGATGCACGCTGTAGTCCCATCTCATGGAAGGGCACACTGAGGCTCCTCCAGGCCACCAGACCAACTCACACACACAGCGCCCTGCTACCAGACATCTGAGCTCAGAGTACAGCCGCAGCAGGCGGCCTAACTCACACAATCAAGGAAACCCTTCTATCTGGAGCTCATCCACATTCCCCCTGGGGTCCTGCGCATCGTGAGCTTTTTTCACCTTACACTCATCTATAGTTAACACTAGAGAGGTGTTTGTTTTTCCACTTAACGTTATATACCGCGAGGGTTTTTTCTGTGATGCCTCTGTCTCTCTCTTTCTCATCGTTCAGGGACCAGCTGAGTGATCCCAAGGTCTCCCAACAAACGGATAACAATGGCTGACTGGCACTGGGCTGGCCGAATGCGAGGACTCCGGGCTAAACGCTTACAGGAGTTCTCTAATCTAATGCATCTTAATTTGCCAACCAGGAAACTGAGGAACAGAGGCTACGGCAATGGTCAAGGTCTTAACATTCGTTGCCTAAGCAATCGCGGAGCTGGGAAACCGACCCGCCGTACACACGTAGGGCGGGCGGGGGGCGGCGTGTTTAAGAACCGAGAGCGCGCACGTCTCTCGTCAAGACGCAGCGGGACCCTGCTCCCTGCCCCGGGCGACCCCATGCTCTCTCCAGTGGGGTTAGGATCCCAGGCTCATTATGGGGCAAACTGTAGCGCGCGAAGGCTGTCGCCCGGCCGAGGGTGTTGCGTTCAGGAGCCAGGGGCCGAGGGCCGCAGGGGCGTTAGCATCCTAAACTAACACCGCCCGCATTCCCGTAGCGATCCCTTCCCAAATTAAATCGGTAGTATTTGTTTTGTTTCTCAATATTATATAAACGACGCGTGCAGAGTGAGAAAATTCCACCAGAACAGAAAAGTGAGAACTTCTGAGAGCCGCTGAGGTGGCAACGCGCGCGGAGATTGGGGTGGCGCAGGCAGGCTCCGCATGCCCGGAGCGCCAGGGGGAACATAGGGAAATAGACAATTTTTAAAAAAAAAAAATCAAACAAGAATACGCCGCGGTTAAAATACAATGAGAGAAAAACCTTGGCATTAAAAAGAAAAAATCTGGCTCCCCAAGCTGGAGTGGATTGGGTCCCTCTGCCCCGCGCCGCCGCGCACCAGCTGGTGGTGGAGAACCCCGTCTTGGTGGGGTGGGGGGTCATCTGAACAAGAGGTGAGGAGAACCCCGTCCGGGGGGTCCTCAGAGCCAGAGGCCGGGCCCGCTCGCCTCTCTCCTTTCTGCCGCGCTCTGGCCAAGACGACCTTGTGTAATTCCCAGCCAATAGAGGTTTTGCCAAATCAGAATAGCTCCCATCTTATTTTGTATAAATTTTCCCTTAAATCGATGCCATGCTGTATATTTCAATACCTGAATTTAAAAGAACGCGCAGAAGCCGCAGGGCTCGCTGCAGACCGGCGAACTTGACGGTGGCGGCGGCGGGAACCCTGCGCGGCTCCTTGGCAAGCACGCCCTTCCTGGGCCGGCCCCTCGCTTCCTCTGGGACAGATTCCTGGCTCCGGCCGCGCGCTTGTGTCGCGCGCCTGTGCGGGAGCCGACAGTTCGGCAGCCCCGGGTCTCTTGCTGACCTCCCAGCTAGACAGGGCTCCTGGGAAAAAGGTCCTGTGGCTTAGATTTACATTTATTTATCACTCACGGAGCTTACTGTGTCACTGGCACTGTCCTAGCTCTTTACAATAAACCCATCTAATCCTCTTTCACACCTCTTGAGTTCTGTTGAGGAAGCAGATGAAGAATCAATCTTAGGCCCAGAGAGGAGGAGTAACTTGCCCAAGGTCACACAGCTGATTAGTGCCACAGCTTGGTTTCAAACCTAGGCATTCTGGCTCCAGAGCCCAAGGGCAAGGTGCCATCTCACCCCTAGTCCAAAGAGTGGGCACTAAAAACTATCTGTCAATTGCTTAAAGGGTACAGTAATAATCTTAGCGAACAATTTTTTGAAGATTTCTATGAGCCAGACATATCAAGCGGATGAGATCAGCAGGATTATTTCTCACTTAGGGCAGGAGAGGAGACCGAGGCATAAAAAGAAGTGGCCCACCCAAGATCTCACAGTGGAGGAGGCAAGGCAGCTGCGATTCTGGGGCGGGGAGTCTCGTCCCTTTGTACCACTCCGCTGCTTCTCCGGAGAGCTTGCTGCAGAGTCGGGTAGGAAGTGAGCAGGCCTGGCAGGCTGGTCACCCGGAGCCACCACGAGCTCCCGACCCTGCTCCAACCCACAGCTGCGGAGGATAGCAGTGCGGATTACTGCCTAACATCTGTTCTTGCTTGCTTTGTGCCAGGCACCGGGCTAAATGCTGAACCTGCAAATCTCATTCTGTCATTTTCCAAGGAGGAAACTGAAACCCAAAGAAGTTAAGGGCACTGACTACCTAAGGCAGTCAGTGGACTGGGGAATCCTACACGTGAATCCACATGGTTCCGCTGGAGCCCTGGCTCTTTGAACCACTCAGCGGTTCTCGAACTTGCCTGAAGACACAAACTGCTGGAGGCTGGGACAAACCCAACCCCCTGCTTGCCGCAGCGCCCTTGAATTAGACTCCCCAGGGATGGGGGCCTGCAAAACCGCATTTGGAACCAGGTGATTCTCGTCATCTGGCAAGCTGGGGAACTGCATCTTTCACAGAGGCCCTAGATCCCTCTGGCTCCTCTCTTGATGGCCTGGGAGAAACTGGAGTCAGATTTCCCCTCTCCAGGCCCTTCTCTTCCATCTCAGGGTCTCTGTGTATTTGCTGTAATCCAGTGGCTACAGCACAAGTCTCACAGTGTGGGGACCCTGGAAGCGGGGACGTGGGCAGAGGGAAGGAAAGTGAAGGGGAAGAGGTGGAGAGAGGTACTCTGGGACACACCTGCCTGGGCCCAGACCACAAAACCATCCCTGAAGCTCCTGCAGCCCAGTGCCCGCCAGTGCTGCACAGGGGAGAAGAAGAATTTGAGGGAACTCGTCAGAGACAGTCCATCTGTTCTGCTCAGATCCTAAGCTCCCCTCTGGAGTCCCCCAGGAAGGGGAGTGGGGGTGAGCCAACCTCCATATGGGTTTACGGGGTGCAAAGCTTTCAGCTGTCCCCCTGTCTATATGAGGCTTAGAAATGTTTTATCACTTGTCCTGTTCTGCACTTAAGAAGCAGCCAAGCTGAATTCTAACATCAACTCCCCCTTTTTTCCAGCACATCCACAACTAACCCCACCCCACCCAAACTCCAGCTTACAGAAATCTCAGTTGCTACACTGGTTCACATTAACTCTGCCTCCCCCCACAAAGCAGTTTCCTTTGTCCTCAGCTTCTTAGGAAAGGTTTGTTACACAAGCTTGGTATACTCCTG